TACAGGGCACACTCCAATTATATTTTAAAAAATAGCCTGCCTGGAGAAATAGTGGTCAGATTCTCAAGAAGACAAACCAGAGATGCCATCTTAAAAGCGACTTCAGCAACTCCACTGAAAATGGGAACTGTAATCATCAAAACTTTAAAAGACATTCCATTTGAAATTCGACAAAAGAGGAAAAACTATAAGGATTGAATTTCTTTTCTTCAAACTAATGGAATATCGTACAGGTGGGCGGTCCCGGACAGTGTTCCCTCTAAGCTGAGTTAGTGTGAGCCAGCTCACAGTTCTTTAGCCTCCGGCTCACACATTTTTGCCTTAGCTCAGGAAGGAGGGGGCTCCAGAGCAGACTAATCGATGCAGCAGCCAAATCCCTGGCTCACAATCTTAATGCCAGCGGCTCACAAAGTAGAATTTTTGCTCACAGGACTCCACAGCTTAGAGGGAACATTGGTCCCGGAGGGTGTCATCTTTAAGATCAATTATAAAAGAGAGAAGATAGACTCCACCTTCAAAGCCAAAGAGTTTTTGAGGTGTCAGCTGGGAACAGAGGAAGAGTGTAAGGAGGAAGAAACTAAATCTAGTGACTCTGCCACCTCTGGAATGGAAGAGGACTCTGCTGCAGAAACGGGTGCAGGTCCCGCCAGAGTTGTATACGATTTTAGAGACAGAAAGCCGAAGTGAAGGCAGGACTCGGAAAATGGCCTTTTGAAGCGAAGAACAATTAGATGATCAGAAAGCTCTCTCATAACAACTAACATATTAACGCATTTGAAGCTGTGATAAACAAGAAATCTACAAGTATATTGTGATATTAGCACTTTTAGTACTAACACTTATATTAACAGGGATAAGATCTCTTCCTCTTGGGGTTGTAGCATAGTGTGGTTATCTTTCCTTTATCCCTAGTTGTAGTTCCCTTCCCAATATTTTCTTTGTAGTTCTGTAGTCTATTGCAAAATAAAAAATATCCCTTCGCGGGTTTAAAAAAAACCCCCAAAACTTGTCTCATTCAAATGCAGATGTATGTGCATTTTATCAATTACATTATAATTTTTTAACTGGATAAGCATACTGGTGCCTTGACCTGGCTGGTCCAGGCTATCCCACTCTTGTTACATCTCAGAAGCTAAGCATGAGTAGCCTTGATTAGTATTTGGATGGGAGACCAAAAAGGATGTCCAGGGTTGTTACACAGAAGCAGGCAATGAAAGACCACCTTTGAAAGTCTCTTCCTTTGAAAACCCTGTGGCATCTCCACAAGTCAGCTGTGACTTGACAGCGCTTTCTACCACCAACCAACCATCCTAGTGCTTCACTCGAGGCTTTAAAATTTGCTCTAGTTTTAAAGCCGCTGCAAAATGTGGCCTGACCAGAACTGCCCTCCACTTTATCTTTCACGCAAACAGTAACCAGACATTGACAAAAAGAGCTCAAGAGAGGCTAAAAGACAATTTCAGCCTTCCATATGAGATTCTGTCTGGTCATTAGACCAGGGGTCATTTACTCTAGTTTTGTCCATAGGATTTAAAAACCTTTCTTTCAGGTTCCCCCTCCCCCTCTTTGCTGCTTAGCTGATAGCTTCCTTTCTGGTGCTCTTCCTAGTCCATGAAATGTTTATAGTACATAAAAACATTTGGTAACACTAGGTGGCATTTCTTATTAAAGAACAGGTTGGCAATCCCTACTCTAGACTATGCTTCCTTCTGTCCCTCATCCTATGCAATCTCTGGTGCTCCATGCTTCCGCAGCTTTATTTGCCTCAACTCTGCATGAAATTCTGCACACTTCTCTTGCTCCATGGCCTCCCTCCCTTTCACAACATTTGTGCTCCTCATGTTTCCCACCAAGAAGGAGCTCAGTCAACAGCTGTGATACTAGCAGATAACAAATCTTTGGTGACCACTGAGGGAAAGATGAGCCCAAGGTCTCCTGGAGCGAATTGTAACAACACACGAGGGACTAGAGTGGCAACTGCCTCTTGGTAATTAGAAATATGAACCAGAGTGCCATGCTGGAAAACTCATCTGACTGATAAGCATGATGCTGAAAGAGTGTCAGGAAGACTTGCACTGGCAACAATACCTTCAGGCATCACAAGAAACAGATGCCTGTTCGTCTGGGCCTGATTCACAGTCCATCAGAATAAGAGAATGAAAAACTCCCATTGATTTCTGTGACTTTTTAGAAGGTTTTAAGAAGGCCAAGGTAAAGAACTATGTTTATTTCTTTACTTCATTTATACAGTGTTTCATCCAAAGTGACTTATATCATCCTCCTCCATTTTATCCTCACAACAACCCTCTGAGGTAATTTAGGCTGTGACTGGCCCAGCAGAGAAGGTGAAGCAAATCAGATGAGATCAGAGCCACCTACCCCAAATCAGCTTAATCCTGGGACAGTTCATAACTATTTAACCTGTCATTCTGCACAGCCCAGTTAATTGAGCTGAACTACATTGTCCTGGTAATGGAGATAGGGAACAATCCTGTCACAGTGGTGGAGAGTTCTGGATGCCTTTGCGAAAAATAGGATGAAAGAGGTCTACTGATCTGCCATAAGCTGCTGAAAGAAACAAAGGCATTGGGGTAGATGAGAGGGATTTCCCCCCCAAAAAACATGCTCCTGTCAAACATCAAATGCAGAACATCTGGAAATGCTGTGGCACAGAAACCAAACACTAAGGAAAACTCCATTCTGTTGACCTACTTAGCTATGCACTTTCAGAACCCTTTCGACCTATTCACAAGATAGTTTTCCTGTCATTATTCCATACTAATGGTCCCAAGGTATACAATTACATGAAAAATGGGTATGTGAACAGAGAACACACAGGTACAGTTTGCAGCAATTTCCACCATCCAAGTAGCACCAAAAAGTGCAGAAGTCACTGCAAAAGAATACCCACCTGCTTCCAGACCACACACAATACTTTTGCCATGGAATCCTAGGCACAGGGATACTCAGGATGCAGATGCCCAGGAAGAAAATATGTATTTATGTATGTATTTATTTATTTATTATTTGCATTTATATCCTGCCCATCCCACAGGCGGGCTCAGGGTGGGTAACATAATTAGAATAAATACAATTTCAGTTTAAAACATTAAACATTAAAACATGCTAAAACATTATAACCATTAAAACAATGGGTACAGCTTGGAACAGCATCAGTTGGCTATAAAGTTCTGGCCCGATGGTACAATGAGTTAAAGCCCAGTTGTCGGTGGTCACTGGTCAGTAGACGGGTGACAGATGGGTGACAGCAACCTCAGGGAGCCCATAAATGGGAGCCCCCTGCCTCAACCAAAGGCCTGGTGGAACAGCTCCATCTTGCAGGCCCAGTGGAATTGAAGAAGATCTTGTAGGGCCCTGGTCTCAATAGGGAGCATGTTCCACCAGGCTGGGGCCAGGACAGAAAAAGCCCTGGCCATGTTTGAGGCAGAACGGGCATCCTTCGGGCCAGGGACCACCAGGAGGTGTTGATCTTTCGAGCATAACACTCTTCAAGGCATATATGGGAAGAGAAGGTATCCTTAGATATGCTGGTCCCAGGCCATATAAGGCTTTGAAGGTCAAAACCAGCACCTTGAAGTGAATCTGGTACTCAACTGGCAACCAATGCAGTTGGCAGAGCACGTGCCTAATGTGAGCCTGCACAGGCATTGACGTCAGCAGGTGCGCCACCACATTCTGCACCAGTTGTAATTTCTGGATCAGCTTCAAGGGAAAGCCTTGCATAAAGCGAGTTGCAGTAGTCAAGTCTGGAAGTTACCATTACATGGGTCACCATTGCTAGGTCTTGGGGGGAAAGACAGGGCTTCAGTAGCCTGATCTGCCCAAGATGGAAAAACGCAGATCTGGCAACCGCAGCAACCTGGGCCTCCATAGAAACAGAGGCATCCAGTGTCACTCCCAGACTCCTCACTGTCTGGGCTGGCACCAAAGGTGCCCCTTCCAGTGTAGGGAGTCTGGCACTCACATCCAACCCCCCTTGGCCCAGGTACAGGTCCTCCGTCTTCGATGGATTTAACTTCAACTAACTCTGCCGCAACCATCCAGTCACAGCATCCAAAGCCTCAGCCAAGTTCATAGGAGCAGAAGATGGATGGCCGTTCATTAACAGATAGAGCTGGGTGTCATCAGCATACTGATGACAACCCAGCCCATAACTCTGGACTAACTGGGCAAGAGGGCACATATAGATGTTAAATAACATTGGTGAGAGGATCGCCCCCTGCGGCACTCCACATTCCAGTGGGTATTGTGGGGAGACCCTCTCGCCAAGTGCCACCCTCTGTCCCCAACCATGGAGGAAAGAGGAAAACCATTTCAAGGCGATCCCTTGAACTCCTACGTCGGCAAGGCGGTGGGTCAATAGATCGTAATCGACTGTATCAATCGCCACCTTTAGATTGAATAGTAACAGCAGCACTAATCCGCCCCGATCCAGATGTCTACGGAGGTTATCTGTAAGGGCGACCAGAGCTGTCTCCTTCCCACGACCAGGGTGGAAGCCAGACTGGAAGGAATCAAGGATAAAAGCATCATCCAGGAAAGCCTGGAGTTGTTCAGCTACCGTTCTCTCGACCACCTTACCCTGGAATAGAGCCTCTGCTATTGCTGACTTACTTTTATTGAAGGACTGTATATCGGCAGGTTGTGCGGTCTGATCTACGTGTAACAGAATGAAATGGGAATGAGATCATAGAATGGAACGTTCTACTTCAGGTTGTTCATGGGGAAATCCCATTTTTAAATATGCTCATAGGCTTTAAAATGCTCATACAAGAGCAAGCAGGCTGGAATTGAACCTTTTTTCCTGCAAGGAGTATATTTCTTTTAAAAATCACACCCCACATTTGTTGCACAATGTGGTCCCATCCACTCATTACCTCATGATTCCACTGCCTCATTCCAGACCTTAGTGAAAAGAGTGAGGGATACCATGCCTTGCATTCTTTGGTGGGTTGTGGATGTGCTCTTCTTTAGCATACCTGCAGTCTGTAGCCACCAGCAGTTTCAGGCAGGTGAGAGATCCCTTAGCAGCTGCATAATGTGCTGGAATTGCTCCTTCCTGGGTCTCTGATGCAGTGTTGTAACCTGCCTGGACTAGCCACTTGACAACTTCTGAGTGCCCAAAGCGAGCAGCCAAATGGAGGGGAGAAGCCCCAGAAGCATCTTCCTCCTGGGAAAAGGAGGACAAAGATTTTAAATTGTATAGATTCCCTGTTATTAACTGCTCTGTGAATTCAAAGAAGGGCAGTTTATAAATCGAAAGTAGAAATAAATAAATAAAGCTACCAATATTTCTTCACCCTCCCCAGGACCTGTCTGAACTCTAACTGCAGTCAGATGACCACGTGGAGTACAACCATCTGGAGAGTGTCAAATGCCACCAACAGTAATTGCTGGGATATCAGACTGTGGCACCATTACTCTGTACTTGTGGTGAGATAGGATGTGTTACTGGTGGGATGATAGGACAATGATATGGTGGGATGGTAGGATATGACAGGAGTTGGTGTGTGTATTTAAAACTTAGTAAAATGAAGTGTTTTGTGTGTAAAATAGCCTAAGATATGTAACGCATTCCTGTGGATCAAGGGTACGGTGCTATATTTCAATTATTCTAGCAAATAGGGCAAAAGGGACAATGCAGAAAGAACCATAGCTTCATGCAACTCCTGTTTTTGATCCAGCTTCTCTATAGAACAAAGCAAAGGGAGCTGGCCTATGTTAGCCAAATTGCCTTGATTCTGATTGGTATTTAGAGAAATTAAGGGCAATAGGCAAAATAAGGGAGCAAGCACCAGTGTATACAGGGGTCCCGCTTTTTCCCAGCTCACCAGGAATAGACTTAGAGGCACGTTTCAGTATAAAATTATTTCCTTTACTATAGATTCTTCACAAGCATACAATACCACAAACACACTCACAATTATACAGTTCTAAAAAAAATAGATAGAAGAGGATAGCACTTTCGTATTAGCAGGATATTTCGTTGAGGGGTAATAGTTACCTGTCTACGATGGGATGGAACAATCCTTAGGGGGAAAAAAGAGGGAGACTACAAGGAAATGGGGTCGTGTCTTAGGCCAGCACAGACACGTGGATAGACTCTTGGGTAGCTAATCCAGAGTCAGTGAGATAGGGAGGGGTTAGATGCAGTGAGAGAGCAAGAGCGCAAGCACATGGCTGGGTGTCCCTTTTAAGGGGGAGGCTTGGGGGGTTGTGCCAGGCTGGTCACATGTCTTGGCCCACCTCCTACTAGTCCATCCCAAAAAAACCCCTAGAGCAGGGTTTAGGGGGAGGAGATTAAGGGAGTGGACAATATTGAGATCTAGTAACTTTGGGCTGAGCAGTAGCACCTGAAGGGATTATGACTCATGTGGCCAAAGTCTTTGTCATTAAGATTCCATGATTGTCTTCTGCTTGTTGCCTTTCAGCTAGGTGAGGCTCTGTGAGGGAGGGGAATGCTGCCTGCGTGTGCTGGAAGAAACCCCTAATGGCGTTTGGGTTTCTTTGTCTCCGGTCTTCTTCCTTGGTCTACAATGCTTCACATGGCTAGGGACCTGGTCCATCTTACAGCAGGCAAGAGGACAGGTAACTTCCAGGAAGCATTGGCACAGCATACAGGAAAGCTTTCTGCTTCTAGGTGTGTGTCTGGCTGGCATCCTTTTTGGGTCACCACACAGTTCAGTCCCTATTTGCACATTGCTTGCACAGTCCAGGTTTTATTATGAACTTTGTCTAAAAGAGCACAATATGTGCCTTGCAGGGCAACACCTACTCGAACATATTGTCTTTGGAGGGCCAGCCTCTCGCTAGAACTATTAAAGCAACTAAATCAGGATATCTCTTTATGCTCTTATGTTTGTCTTGTACATTCTTCTCCAGAAGATGATGTGTCATTTATATTCTAACAAAATAGCAGCAACTACAAGATCAGTGTTCTAATTGGAAGCATTAATCCTATGTGGCCACCACTTTTTCTGATGATTTCCAACATTATTATGCTTGGAAGTTATTTTTATCTCGGTTGCCAACATGTACAAGTATGCAGACGAAGGCTGTCTGTATCTGGAAGACTGTCCCAGAATTCGATTGTACCCAAGTAATGACAAGAGATGAGGATGGGAAAACAAGAGAAGGCTTGATGCTCAATGAAGGCGCACTAGGGACAGAGCAAGTTGAGCCCACCCCATACACACAAATGAACGTATTTGAGTGTCTTTTTCTTTGTCCCCAACAGGTGAATCTTCTTGTTTTTGTCCATTCACTTCCTGGGCCAGTGTCATAAGGAGAGCAAAATTTATCCTTTGTCTATCACACTAGCTAGCCCAGCATTCAATGACAGAAGATCTTACAGGTTGTGCAATGTATGCTCCATCCCAAAGCACACTGCACTCACAACAGAGCCGCTTGCATACAAGTTGTCTCCCCGCCATACACACACACACGCTCTGCCGTTGCTACAAACACACAATGTCCCTTTGTCAGAACAAGGAGCAATTTGCTCATTTGCAGTATCACAGTATCTGTTGGACGGGGAGGGCTAAGTGCTGACGACAGTGCAGCCTGAACAGCTATTTGCAGGCACAGCTTGCTGACACTGTTTACAATGCAGGACTACTCCAAAATCAGCAACATGGGTAAACACACTACACATTCGTCAAACTGGAAATCCCAATGGCCTTTTCTGCAAGCGAGCTTCTGTTTTCCATGGGCACCATTGTGGGAATCATATTTATGTCAGCGATCTTACCTGCATGCTGTACTCTCCATCTTTGATCAGCCACTGCAATTCAGCCAAGTTGCCCACAGCTGCTGCATCATGTGCCGGAGTTGCACCATTGTTTGCTCTCTGATTCCCGGGAAGCTTTGCTTGCAGCACCAAGAACTTGAGGCACTCTAGTCTGCCTGCTCGTGATGCATGATGGACCAGGCCAGCTCCTAGACAATCAGTAATATTCTGGCCCAGAGCACCATCTATGTGCAGCTGTTCCAAGGTAGTCAAGTCTCCAGCCTTGACAGCTTTAATAGCCCTGTGATCTCCCATCCCTGGGAGCCTTCCTGTTTTCTTTTCTGGAAGCTCCTGCTTTCACAGAGCCTCTTGTTTTGTGAACCAGGCAGATGGTGTGTGTCTCTGGTTACCTGGTAAAGAACCGCAGGGAGCATATGTAGTGCAGCGGGGATTGGGATGGGGCATGGCTGGCAAGAGAACAGCAACAAGTTCCAGCCAAGTCAGAATTTTATTAGCTCTCCTTCCTTTCACAGACCTCACTACCAAGTGACTGAAGCAAATTAAAGCACACTTTTATGTTCTAACTCACTGGTTAAAAATGATGCTTTTAAATGCATCTTTTTAGAAAATGAAATTATCATCTACTTCATTTGTATACATTTTCCCAAATGACCCATAAACCTTCTTTACAACTTCTTTCATTTCTCTATATACTAAGAGCTAGATTCAAATTCCTAATCACTACAGTTGTCCTGCAGGTATTTTTCCCCTGATGATGATGTTGCTTTTCTTTCTATAGCTGATTTCTGTTTTAAACTACATAAATTCCTACACAAGACCTCATTATGTCATCTAGAATAGCTAAGACTTTTGGTTCTGGAGACTCTTCTCATCCTGGGACTGAAACAATCCTCCACCACCATCTACAGCATTCCAGACTGCTGCATCACTGCCAAAGAGGGCAAATTCTTGCATTTCTCTGGGAACATATGAAGAGAACTGGATTGTCCCACTGCTAGGAATGTTTGCTACATCTGTAAATATTTCAAATTAAATCCTTACAAATTATATTAACACATAACCAGCAGCGGGAATTCCAGCAAACATGACCTTCCAACTTGTTTTTTTTTTTTAACGAAATGGTGTTTTTTGACGAAGAGGAATCCTGGGTCTCCACCACTCCATGGTTTCCTGCTTGTGTCTGTTTTTATTTGAGGATTCGTACGGACTCGACTGTGCAACTGAACAACAGCAACAACAACATAAAAACCCACCCAGAATACATTTTGTCTGATCATGTCTGATGCTCTTGGACTAAAAAGTGTATCCCCCATCTAACTGCAGTTTAACTGCAGTTAGGACATTCATCCCTCTTCTAGCTTTGGAGCTCACTTCTTTGAGAGGTTCACCTTCCACCCGCACTCCCACTCTCATTGTAAGCTGACTGATGAAGAAACTTCGGTTTGTCATGCCTTTGACCTTAATCTTTAATCTTTTTCCTCTATAGGATATGCTTTGAGTTGCTTATTTGTTGCTGATGTTTTTGTGGCACTTATGTTCTTTTCAATTTGTTTTTCAATTTTGTTTTAAGTGTTATTTCTGCGGTGTCAATGACTGGATTGTTGCTTTTAGTATTTGTGTTATGACAGTCACTTTGAAATCCTTTATGCAAAAGTGTGGTAAGAGAAAGATTCATACATACATATGGTATCAGGGATGGCCGATTTGTTTTTCCGAGTATGTTTTCCACATACTAGCCTGGAGGGTGGAAGTATATATATATTTACACACTATTATGGATGATCTAGCTTTGGACATGAATGGTTTGTGTTTTCACATGATAAATTTATTTATTTGTTAAATTTGTATTCCACCCTCCCCGCCGTGGCAGGCTCAGGGCGGCTTACAGAGTGTATATATATACCCATGTTAAAACACAAAATACAATTAAAATCACAGCATAAGATCATCAGTGCTAAGGACATAGATATTAATACAAGATGGCAGCATTCTCTCTACATTGGAAGGTCGCCTACCAGCATAGTCTAGGTTCCTGCCAGGGTGTTGGTCATTGAGATGGTGCTAGTGTTAGGACCCGGAGGTGACGTCATCACACCAGGCACATCGTCGGGGGGCACTCTAGCATTTGTGCTTTAAGCCCAAACACTAGAGCGTCCCTCAACAATGTGCCTGGTGTGATGATGTAACTTCCAGGTGATGTCATCATGGTGCGCACCCGGCCATGTAGTCTCTCCCCCCGCTGGATGCCAGGTAGGGACCTGGCAACCCTAGGAAAGTGCCATCGAGTCACAACTGACTCAAGGCAACCCCACAGGGTCTTCATGGCAAGAGATGAATGGGGTGGTTTACCATTGGAACCCTGGACCTCACGGTGGTCTTCAATCCAAGTACTAACCAGGACCAACACTGCTTAGGTTCTGAGAGCTCATGCGATTGGGCTAGCCTGGGCCATCCAGGTCAGGGCTAATTCCCTTTACTAACAACATATGCAAATTGGTATAGACTAGGGATTGTACATTAAGTACAGGTATTTAGGTTAAATATTACTTTTGAAAATTAAAGTCTGCATTTTTACAAGTAACCAATACCACAGCAAAGGGATTGGGGTTGACACTGCTATAGCTTGTGTTTTACTTAGTATATTTTCATGTGCTTCAGATTTTTATATATATATAATCTTTTTATTGGTTTTTCCAAAACAACAAAAAAAAGAAAATTGTTTTTCTACAACACAGTATTTCAACAAAGGAAAATGCCCATTAAATATTTTCTCTTATCTATATCTTCAACAATAATTCATTGTTCTATATTATTTATATTAACATAACTAATGATTCCCAATTATTAACAATTTAATCACATTTTACCACCACCAATTAGGTATATAAACAGTAAAATACAGGCAAGAATAATAATTAGAGATTGCCTTTAGACAATAAAAGAGATATCAAAATACAGTTATCAGTTGCCTTCATTTCCACCTTATAGAGGTTTCATCATTTCGTGCATTATACAAGCAAAAGAAGTTGTTCTGCCACATAATACACATTGCCTATTTTTTTGCTTTGTTTTCTGTGACACCTTTTTCTTGATAATCATACTTAAATGTCTTATCTCTTTATATTCGTGGTATTTTACTTCCATGTTTTGCTGGCTCTGTCTTCAATTTTCTATTATCTCTGTTACTTTTCCTTGGAGGACGCCTCGCTCTCCTTTTAGCCACCCTATTCATTTCTCCATGTGATTGTTCTCGGGAGACTCCTTTTGTCAATCCCACCACCAAGGAGTGTTTTGTAAGACTCTTTACTCCACACATTTGACTGGAGACACTCCTTTTTCTTTCCATAGGTAAAGGAGGCATATCTTGTATCCCCTTTTCTTGACTATAGTCCTGTTCCCTCTCTGAACTCCGCTGAAGCTGTAATAGCCCCTCCTCATTTTTCAATTTCAAGTCTGTATTCTGAAAATTCTCAAAAGCGTTTTTGCAAGCTTTTTTGACTGCCTGCTGCACCCCATCAAAACAAAAACTTTTTAAATTGTTCCAAGGTTAATTGTCCGATTTCTGTATTTTCTAAATCTATCTCCTCAGTTTCCCCTGCTGATAATTCCTCATTCTCCCCTGCCAGCATCATTTTCTTATCTTTTACTCCGGTTCTTTTCTTAGCCGCATTTACTCTTTCAAAACCTGGAGATACTCCTAGGGGGTCAATTAATGGAGGTCTTCACCAGATTATAGCAGACTATACACGTACTCACATTCTTGCCTTCGTAGTTGTATATTATGTTGTAAGTCCAAGATTTTTAAAATGGGCGATCACAGCTATGCAAACATGGCAGACCATGTTGCTCCGTTCTTTGTTCCCACTTCGAAACAAATCGGTCTCGTCCCATTCACCGCCGTTTGCGGTCTGTCCGATCAAGTCCCCTACAACTCGACCTCCCTCCAAGAGGTGCGGTGAAACCCCGATAGTCACAAGGACCCTGGGGGCTCTGAAAAAGCAAAGAAGGTTGGGGCTAGTCGGGAGCGTCCCGACTAAGCACCCGTGATGCTGCACCGTTGCCCAGAACCATGTGTTTCAGATTTTTAATTCTTATCTGTTTTAGAATGTTACCAACCTTGAACCTTTATAACAAGGCAAGCTACAAGCTGAAACTAGCAATATTATCTTTCTGAAAAGTTAGCAAGTGGCTTGTGATTAATCATTTCCATTCAATGTAGCAACAGCATCAGGAAACCAATTCTAATCTCTTTATTTCATCTTCACTAACAACATCAACTGGATTGACTACAGAAAGGTGTAGTGAAAGAAGCTTAAATACATGCCAGTCTCCTCAAGACCTTACTTAATCATCTTGTTCAAATCCCTTCTACTACAGTAATTAAACTCAAAAGATTTCAATAAAAATTAAAATAAATTAACATATTTCAGACTGATGTGGGAGTTCTCACTTCCCCCCCTCTCCAGAAGTTGCTTCTTCAAAACAGTCTTTCTTCACCAACAGTAGATCTGAAGTTTTCCTATGCCTGATGAGTCTTTTCCAAGACAACAACAATTGCTGATATTGTCCAAGTGCCAGGAAAGAAACCAAGCAGTTAGATGTTTATTCCTACAGATGTGACAAATCCTTAGGTACATCTGGCACCAATCATTGGCAGACAGGGGGCCTAGCAAAATTCCTGTATTTCAGAAATTCACTGAACTCCTAATAAACCCATATATTTGATGACAGTCTATAAAGAACTATCCACTTCCTGTGGGATTAGTTCTACTAGCTTCCAATGCACAATTTAGGAAATGCAATGATGCTCTAGGAATGGAAAGCTTCCTCCTGCGTATTGAGATATGGCATTTGTACATATTTCCTTCTGAGTGTGAATGTGCACACAGATTTTGCACTTACATGGTTCACACTGTCTACACAAAACATCCAGTATTTCAACCACACACACACACTTACCCCTGGTACCTTCATATAATAATAATAATAATGATAATGATAAAATAATCAATTTAAATACCTATCAAGACTACAACATTCCAGATGCTTCCTGCCCTCTCCATCTCTTTTCCGTTGCCTTTTTTCATGGTAGAAAATAAAACTTCCTGCATTATCTTGAATTTTGATAGTCTTCCCCCTTTTACAAAGCAGGAACACAGGGCTCTGATGTGGATTGAGACTATGGTGTCCTCTCCCCACAGTGCCATGATCCAACTAGGGCTCCATGCTCCTGCTTTGTAGAAGAAAAACAAACGCCTAGCAATTCACTGACAAAACTCCCAAACCTCTCATGT